AACCATCACTTCTTTGGCAAGTTGTGGCTTCTACTGATTTTGCTTCGACCACACACTTTGATTGCCATGGACATCACTGAGCCATTTCCACGCAGTTGGTTTGGTCATAGCGGGATTTTTACGAGAGTCGACCTTCGAACTCAGTTTGCCCAGCTCCTTCCATGCAAATATCAACCCAAAGCTCAAGAGTTGGCTTATACTTTTCCTGCAGGCTGGATATGTCAATAGTGGTTTCCCACAGACTTGCAACACTCGGTTCATGTTGGATCTGTGGATGAACTCCCCTCAACTGAGTACCACCCGCCATCTCAGACTGGCGGGCGTACGGAGAGAGTGCATCAGATCAATAGATTATGATTTGCTCTCTCATCTGTCCAGGTCAGAAGGATGAAGTTCAGCAGCTTCCAGATATTGAGCTCGCATGTAAGACTTCATCCGGCGATTAGCATGTCTCCATGCGAGCTTGAGCACAGGCATCTGGCTCCGTTTCGTGCTGATCCCCTTATTCCTCGTACAGCTACGACAGATGCCCGTGGCACATCAGCACAGGACTCGTGACATGATCCTCAAATCCGAGAACAAGATAGAGAAGGCACAAGAACACATATAGCAGTAGCCCAACCAGCATGGGGTTATCTTGCCTGTCACAAGGATGACATAGCCGGGGTCTCTGTCTAGGAATCCAGATTGGAGCGAAGATATTTCATCAGCTGGACGGGCCTTGGTTTGTTATTGATGCGCCCCCTCACTTATGCGCACATCCAGTCTTTCATGGGTGAAATTTGCTCGTTTCACCTCAGCGGAGAGCAACTTCTTTTTTGGACGACATTTGCAGTATCCTCCTTCCATGGGTGGCCTCTAGGAGGTCTTGCCCATCATCATGCATGGACATTATCGGAACAAGCAAATGAAGTACAAGGTGATCTTTCCTACTGCGACCCCAATACGGCTCGTTGACTAACCTACGCAAAGCCCGAGGCTACGACCCGTCGACCCCTGACATTGTCGCCAACGACGAGCTCAGATGACTTGCTCGTGATGCCTTGCAGGCTGTGCCCTCCCAGCCAAACATCAGTAGGGTGCCCCCTTTTGATTGTCGGCTTTGCCCTCGTGGGGGCTCGGCTTCTGAAAGAGGAGGGAGGGGGGGGGGACATGCTGGGCCTTCCCACACTGCATGTGGGGGACTGCACATTTCTTTGGGCAGACCCCTCGGCCTCCTGGGCCTTTTTTAGACCTACAACCGGCCGAGAGGGCCTGGGCCATCACAAGGCCTAAGTGAGCAAGTTCAGGCATGCGCATTTTGCTGGTTGCAGTTCAGTTTTATACAGTTTGTGTTGTTTTGGCTCCTGCATATATCGTTGGCGTCGGCACAATATTTATTTTAGTTTCATTCAGTTTACCTTGTTTTTGAGTCCTGCATGTGGGCAAGGACCAATCTGTAGACACGGCCATCCATTTGCTCTGTTGTCTACATCTTCGTTTCCTTATTCTTTTCCATCTTGTGTTTTTTTTCCCATTTACTAACTGCTGTCAATGTTCTTCCATGCCACCTTTGTGAACTACTTCCTCACCAGCTGTGTGTGTGTGTGTGTGTGTGTGTGTGTGTGTGTGTGTGTGTGTGTGTGTGTGTGTGTGTGTGTGTGTGTGTGNTGTGTGTGTGTGTGTGTGTGTGTGTGTGTGTGTGTGTGTGTGTGTGTGTGTGTGTGTGTGTGTGTTGTTTCTGTCCCTCTGTTTCCCATCCTTGTAGCTCAACCTCATCGCCCTCTCTCCCTCCTGACCTAACAGCCTCATCTTTTGAACTGCACATTTTTCACTTCATATCCTATACCTTTCCATCATCAAGTGAGTTGCTCTGCTAGATTGCCTGTTGACTGTGATTTGCATCTCATTTTCTCCTTATCCTTCTGAACCGTTGGCCTGCATGCAGGTGTGATCGTCTGCTCAGACAGCTGTGTGGGCATCTCCCGCTAAACCAGAGCCTTGCTGCAGGTACTGGCTTAACTACCCTCTTAGCTACCTGAGCCTTGTTTTAACAGATTTTGACAGTAGCACCCGTTCCTCAAATGCTACCCCGAGTTCAGGTTCGTTGGCCTTCGCTTTGGTTTTGGTGTTCATTATTGTTATACTAACAGCTCTTTCTGCTGAAGAGATTTCCACTCGAGCACCTATGTAATATGTAATATTTAGTTAGAACCCTTCACTTGAGCTGAACAGCTCTTGCTGCTGAAGAGATTTCCACTCGAGCACCTATGTAATATTTAGTGAGAGCTCTTCACTTGAGCTGAACTATGGCAATAGCAACACCCGAGGACCATGCTAATCAACCATCGTTGATAATTTGCTTATTCATGTTACCAACTGCACCCAAGGACAGTTTCGACAAGCCTCTTGGGTTCTAATGGCCCTCGTGTACTGAACTCAGTGAAGGGGTGCAATGTAAACCAAAAGACAGCCGTCTCACATGCTGCACAAGGTATGAAGTGGGGGCACACACCTCCGCTTAACCTGAATGGTACGAAGTTCCGAGATTAGGGTTCAGGCGCTTTGGGTTTGACAGCTGACGAGGTTCAAAATGTCACTTACCTGGGCGCTTTTCTCCGACCAGATTGTTTGCAGATTTATGGCAAGGAATGAAGAATCCGGGTATCTGGGACATCACTGCACACCATACGGAGGAATTCTTGTTGGCGTAATCCTTGTAATGATAGTTCAATTTTCACGTTCAATGTACGACGTGGTGATCAACGCTGGGATTTGACCTTGAGATAAAGTTCCGTTAAACTAAAAAAATGAACACTTTATGACCTTCAACTTGAGTCTAAGACTGTGTTGGAAAGTACTGCTCAAGTACCTTCATGAGTGTTAGACTTTTTTTTTCACCTTTTTTTGGATTGAAAAGGTTCTGCTTTCCTGCCTGTATCGCTCCAAACTTTATGCATGCACCGCTCTCATGATTCACACCAAGCCGACAAGATCCACACGATAGGAGCACACTTGGCACTTATGTACCACTTCAAATAATGTACGCAGGTTTCTCAAGTCAGCGGCCATAGCCGCCCCCAAAAACAACAAGTAGGTAACTCTCTCTCTCTCTCTCTCTCTCTCTCTCTCTCTCTCTCTCTCTCCTCTTATACACATCCAGATCACCCAACCTTGTCTGCCAACACCTTCAG